GTCAATGATCAAAAAGTCAAATTTAAATATTAAAAACAGTATTCGGCTTCAAGTTCCTTCAATTTTTGTCCAAAACTTTATCAAAATAAGTTTTTTTAAATAATTTATAACTGGAACAAGAAATTGGGCGCAAAATCCGTGCTTGAGCATGAGAACGGTTTCATGAATACGGCCCCTGAGTAATTTACCTAAATTATTTTTTCATTGCTACATGATTGGCAACATATTTTCAAGTCTTTATCAAAACATCCTGGAAAGGGGATATTGAAGAACAAATTTTATTTGGTAATAACAGAAATGTCTTCAAAAGAAATCAACTTCTTTTTTAAATTGGTCAAAATCGGATTTTACTAAAAGATTAAGGACATCTGGGATGAATCGAATAATGATTAGAGACACTATTCCAAAAGCTTGACCAAATTAATCGATCTATACCTTAAGCTTTGATAGCAAAATTGAAGACAAACGATTTTATACAAAATGACAATAGTTTTGTTATAACAGGAAACTTAATAAGGTTATAAAATAAAACTTGAAAAATATTATCAACCCAATGCTCAATAAAAATGTATAAGTTTTAGACAGGAAATTTTATTCTTTTTCATTCAGTACTACCGTCTAGTCCTAAATAGTCGAAATGATTATATGACACCAAAATGATGATATGAGGTCCTGTATCAGTTTAATATTGTCCAATCAGAACGTTATTTTTTATCACTGCATTCAAAACCGAAGATTATTTTCTGTTCAGCTACAGCGACAGTAGAATAAGTATTCAGTTACAGCGACGATAGAATAAGTGTTCAGTTACAGCGACGACAGAATAAGTGTTCACTTACAGCGACGATAGAATAGGTGTTCAGTTACAGCGACGATAGAATAGGTGTTCAGTTACAGCGACAATAGACAGGTGTTCAGGTACAGCGACGATAGAATAGGTGTTCAGCTACAGCGACGATAGAATAAGTGTTCAGTTACAGTGACGATAGAATAGGTGTTCAGTTACAGCGACGATAGAATAAGTGTTCAGTTACAGCGACGATAGAACAGGTGTTCAGGTACAGCGACGATAGAATAGGTGTTCAGCTACAGCGACGGTAAAATAAGTGTTCAGTTACAGCGACGATAGAATAAGTGTTCAGTTACAGCGACGATAGAATAAGTTTTCAGTTACAGCGACGATAGAATAAGTGTTCACTTACAGCGACGATAGAATAAGTGTTCAGCTACAGCGACGGTAAAATAAGTGTTCCGCTACAGCGACGGTAGAATAAGTTTTCAGTAACAGCGACAATAGAATAGGTGTTCAGTTACAGTGACGATAGAATAGGTGTTCAGTTACAGCGACGATAGAATAAGTGTTCTGTAACAGCGACAATAGAATAGGTGTTCAGTTACAGTGACGATAGAATAGGTGTTCAGTTACAGTGACGATAGAATAGGTGTTCAGTTACAGCGACGATAGAATAGGTGTTCAGTTACAGTGACGATAGAATAGGTGTTCAGTTACAGCGACGATAGAATAGGTGTTCAGTTACAGTGACGATAGAATAGGTGTTCAGTTACAGCGACGATAGAATAGGTGTTCAGTTACAGTGACGATAGAATAGGTGTTCAGTTACAGCGACGATAGAATAGGTGTTCAGTTACAGCGACGATAGAATTAGTGTTCAGTTACAGTGGCAATAAAATAGGTGTTCAGTTACAGCGACGATAAAACAGGGGTTCAGTTACAGTGACGATAAAACAGGTGTTCAGTGACAGTGACGATAGAATAGGGGTTCAGTTACAGTGACGATAAAACAGGTGTTCAGTGACAGTGACGATAGAATAGGAGTTCAGTTACAGTGACGATAGATGTTCATTTACAGCGACGCTAGAATTAGTGTTCAGTTACAGTGGCAATAAAATGGGTGTTCAGTTACAGCGACGATAGAATAGGTGTTCAGTTACAGCGACGATAGAATAGGTGTTCTGTAACAGCGACAATAGAATAGGTGTTCAGTTACAGCGACTATAGAATAAGTGTTCAGTTACAGTGGCGATAGAATAGGTGTTCAGTGACAGCGACGATAGAACAGGTGTTCAGTTACAGCGACGGTAGAATATGTGTTCAATTACAGCGACGATAGAACAGGTGTCCAGGTACAGCGACGATAGAATTAGTGTTTAGTTACAGCGACGATAAAACAGGCAGTTACAGCGACGATAGAATTAGAGTTCAGTTACAGCGACGATATAATTAGTGTTCAGTTACAGCGACGGTACAATTAGTGTTCAATTACAGCGATAAAAGAATAGGTGTTCAGTTAAAGTGACGATAGAATAGGTGATCAGTTACAGCGACGATATAATTAGTGTTCAGTTACAGCGACAATAGAATTAGTGTTCAGTTAGAGCGACGATAGAATAGGTGATCAGTTACAGCGACGATATAATTAGTGTTCAGTTACAGTGAAGATAGAATAGGTGTTCAATTACAGCGACAATAGAATAGGTGTTCAATAGTTGTTCAGTTACGATAGAATAAGTGTTAAGTTACAGCGACGGTAGAATATGTGTTCAATTACAGCGAAAATAGAGTAGGTGTTCAGTTACAGTCACGATAGAATAGGTGTTTAGTTACAGCGACGATAGAAAAGGTGTTCAGTTACAGTGAGTAACAGCGACAATAGAATGGGTGTTCAGTTACAGCGGCGATAGAACAGGTGTTCAGATTCAGCGACGATAGAATTAGAGTTCAGTTACAGCGACGGTAGAATATGTGTTCAATTACAGCGATAAAAGAATAGGTGTTCAGTTACATTGACGATAGAATAGTTGTTCAGCTACAGCAACGATAGAATAGGTGTTTAGTTACAGCGACGATAAAACAGGTGTTCAGTTACAGTCACGATAGAATAGGTGTTCTGTAACAGCGACAATAGAATAGGGGTTCAGTTACAGCGACTATAGAATAAGTGTTCAGTTACAGCGACGATAGAAAAGGTGTTCAGTTACAGCGACAATAGAATAGGGGTTCAGTTACAGCGACGGTAGAATATGTGTTCAATTACAGCGAAAATAGAGTAGGTGTTCAGTTAAAGTGACGATAGAATAGGTCTTCAGCTACAGCGACGATAGCATAAGTGTTCAGTTACAGGGACGATAGAATTGGTGTCCAGTTACAGCGACGATAGAATAGGTGTTCAGTTACAGCGACGATAGAACAGGTGTTCAGCTACAGCGACGATAGAATAAGTGTTCCGCTACAGCGACGGTAGAATAAGTGTTCAATTACAGCGACAATAGAATAGGTGTTCAGTTACAGTGACGATAGAATTGGTGTCCAGTTACAGCGACGGTAGAATAAGTGTTCAATTACAGCGACAATAGAATAGGTGTTCAGTTAAAGTGACGATAGAATAGGTGTTCAGTTACAGCGACGATAGTATAAGTGTTCAGCTACAGTGACGATAGAATAGGTGTTCAGTTACAGCGACGATAGAACAGGTGTTCAGGTACAGCGACGATAGAATTAGTGTTAAGTTACAGCGACGATAGAATAGGTGATTAGTTACAGCGACGATAGAACAGGTGTTCAGCTACAGCGACGATAGAATAAGTGTTAAGTTACAGCGACGGTAGAATAATTGTTCAGCTACAGCGACGAAAGAATAAGTGTTCAGCTACAGCGACGATAGAATAAGGGTTCAGCTACAGCCACGATAGAATAAGTGTTCAGTTACAGCGACGATATAATAAGTATTCAGCTACAGCGACGATAGAATAAGTGTTCAGCTACAGGGACGATAGAATTAGTGTTCAGCTACAGGGACGATAGAATAAGTGTTTAGCTACAGCGAGGGTAGAATAAGGGTTCACTTACAGCGACGATAGAATAAGTGTTCAGTTTCAGCGACGATAGAATAAGTGTTCAGCTACAGGGACGGTAGAATAAGTGTTTAGCTACAGCGACGGTAGAATAAGTTGGTTTTATTGACACTTTTGATGTATACACTGATTATCAACATTACATGTATTACATAGTTCATAAACTTTTGTAATCAAATCGTTCATGTTCCAGCTTATAGCATAGCATGTACCAGCTAGTAGCAGAACACGGTAGAATAGCATGTACCAGCTTATAGCAGAACACGGTAGAATAGCATGTACCAGCTAATAGCAGAACACGGTAAAATAGCATGTACCAGTTAATAGCAGAACACGGTAGAATAGCATGTACCAGCTTATAGCAGAACACGGTAAAATAGCATGTACCAGTTAATAGCAGAACACGGTAGAATAGCATGTACCAGCTAATAGCAGAACACGGTAGAATTGCATTCCAAATTGCTCCCGGTAATGTCAAGCGTGATGTAATTAGAATATTGCGCCAGAGATGATTAAATCCTTCACTTTGTTGGTGTAGTGATATTTCCGTCTTTGCAATTTACGAATTGCTAATCGGTCTTCTACTATGCTTCTGAATGTGTGTATGGTATTCATCTGACATTCTGCTACCAATAGCCCTGCACCACAGGGTCGCGGGTTCGAGGCCTACGTGGGGCAGTCGCCAGGTACTGGCCGTAGGTCGGTGGTTTTTCTCTGGGAACTCCAGCTTTCCTCCACCTCCAAAACCTGGCACGTCCTTAAATGACCATAGCTGTTAATAGGACGTGAAACACAAACAAACCAAACCAAAAATCAACGGGAAATCATTCAATATCCTATGTATGCTACATAGTAAACGATTTGCGTTGCCGAATTGTTCATCTTATCACGAGTTGAAAAAATGGGCCCAGATGAATTATTGTAAAAACTATATATAGAATAGCTAATATATTATCAGCAATATTACCGCTTGATGTGCATAACTGTTCACGGTCTGTTACAGAATAGTATTTAATTAAGGTCCGTACTACCTTTTACTTGTAGTCTGGTTACTGCCGGATGTTTCAATCCGATGATGATAGTACAATACCGGAATCCAACCTACAGTACGCCGAAGCGTACACGGGGCCGTTTAGTTCTGGCCAGGATGCCTATCTAGCACTGACACAGTAAGTACAACTTGCACTATATTCTGAGTATAACTCACCACTATCCGATTTACGTTTGTTTATGAAATTTGTCTGTGAATCGTACGATTTTGGGAGAAGTTAGCTTCATGAACAAAAATTATATAAGGTAGAGTCGACTCCCTTACACGAAGTGTTCAAAAAGGCGGCGACGTCTTAAAAGTAATAGTCTCAAATAATCGAAAAAGTGAGAAAAAAACAATATCGCAAGAAGCGTTTTTTCAGTTGAAACTACTTTTGCGCATGTGGCTTTCGTCATAGATTTATTTTAGATTGATCAGAATCGTTGTTGGCGGCTATTTTTTGTTTAAATATTTCTTTATCTTGTATCACTAACTGTTGTACGAAATGCTGCAAATTATATAGAAAGAAAAAGGCCATCTATCTGACTAAAATAACTGTTACATTATTCCATTTCACTCCATTTATACTCATTTAGTCAACATTCTAATCCAATTACCGTATCACAATAGGCGTGACCTTCTGTGTTGGCAGTTCTTTACCGTGACATTACCAGATCGAATCTACCTGGACAATGCCAAGCTTAGCCTTGGTTATCTGTGTCTCTATACCTCCCCCTATAGGGACCGTAGCGCCAAATGATTGCCCATAGACGATAGTGTTAACGTTTACCACTGTCCTGGTTAAATGGGGTTATCCACACTGGTTCACCTGCCCTCATTTTGAAGAATGTCATCTCACACACCTGTAAAAAAACATTTAAAAATTCCGAAAATTGACCAAAATGTACAACAAATTACACACTTCAAAAACTCCCCCCGACAAAAACAGACTTGAAAAATATTAATTTTGTTTGATACATTTTACATCTATATATATTGCTCAACCCACACATAATTTTTTTGAAACTTCTGCCACCTAAATATCCAACCAGCAGGCCCCAAGGCATTCATTTTCCTATCAAATCTGCCCAAAAGGGAAAAACCCACGTCCCTATAATTATACCATATTGCTAGGTACAGCACCGAAGTTACTCAAAAGACCAATTTAACTACTGAAAAACACAGTTTAACCCAAAATTAAACAACTAGGACAACTAGGGCAAAACCTCTTCATCTTGGTCACTTGGTCACATATCATCTTCAGTAAGTAGTTCGACATCTTGGTCACTTGGTCACATATCATCTTCAGTAAGTAGTTCGAATGCTTGTTGGAGAAAGAAAACATTTTCCTCAGAGAAAACCTCTTTTTATAACCAATAATTAAGATTGAAACTCATCCAATACAACTACTTTACTCTAAACCTTACCAAATGAAAAGTTTCATAAATATTACGGCTGACGAATCACATCCATCCTTGCTCCAAAACTCCAAAGAGCTAAATGTCACAGTGCTATATCGATGTGATATTAAAATATCCACTAAACACTGTTGAATTCTTTCTTTGACGTTTATTCTGTATATTAAAAAACACTGCAAGTACAAAATACAACACATTACACATTCACTCAAATATCTCACATAGTCTATTCACGTCAAGGGACATAACTCTCACATATATACTTAATCATGAACTCCATATAAAAATAAGATATTATTTTTACTATGTACATATCAATAATACTGAGTTTATTTCTACATATCAATACACAATTGATATGGAATCATATAATACTATTTTACAAAATATGTCTAAATTACAAAAGATCTACTTAACCCACAGATCCTGCGGGGTTTGCAGACTTTCCCTTTGTCTAACAGGCGATGTATGACTGGCAGTTCTAACACTACTACTTAAAATGAGAGAAATAAATACCTTATAAAAACAATACTAATCACTATATACTTTATAATCTGGAATAAAGAAATTGTATACATGTAGATCAACTGAAATCTTACACTCCATCCATTTCTGTATATTTAATCAGAATATTATGATTAAATAGTAAAATAAAAAATGTAAACACTACACAATACCAATATTCTGATAAAAACATTACAGAATATACATTTAAACCATAATAATAGAACATATATGGTTAAAAACTCACCCAGTTCTCTCATTCTTTGATTATCACATTGGAAAACCTCCCAATATCCAAAAGTGGTCCTTTATCCTTCAATGCCTTGATGCTGAGTGATATAAGGCAGGTTAAAAATCATGCAGTTGTTAGCTATGACCAATACAAACGTCCTTTGATGTCACGTGACTAAAAGTACTCACATTCCACCCATTCTTACATACGGGTAATACACAAACATTAAGGGTCCTCGCACCACATTCTTTCATCACACAACTTTACTACCACACAACCATTTAAGGTTCCTTACACCAAGACCTTTCGTGATTTTAAAATCCATTCAAAGTCTTACACAACATAAAGATATATACATGTATCCCTGTTACACAAAGACGGACAACCCGAAAGTATAAAACAATTAGCGAACTAAACTAATTTCTAATATAAAACCACTTCAATGGCTGTATTACAGATCATACAACGGAGTACGAGATATACGGTGAATTAAACCACTACCATACTCATACAACGGAGTACGAGATATACGGTGAATTAAACCACTACCATACTCAAACCTTCTATATGTATTACAGATCATACAACGGAGTACGAGATATACGGTGAATTAAACCACTACCATACTCATACAACGGAGTACGAGATATACGGTGAATTAAACCACTACCATACTCAAACCTTCTATATGTATTACAGCTCATACAACGGAGTACGAGATATACGGTGAATTAAACCACTACCATACTCAAACCTTCTACATGTATTACAGCTCATACAACGGAGTACGAGATATACGGTGAATTAAACCACTACCATACTCAAACCTTCTATATGTATTACAGATCATACAACGGAGTACGAGATATACGGTGAATTAAACCACTACCATACTCATACAACGGAGTACGAGATATACGGTGAATTAAACCACTACCATACTCAAACCTTCTATATGTATTACAGCTCATACAACGGAGTACGAGATATACGGTGAATTAAACCACTACCATACTCAAACCTTCTATATGTATTACAGATCATACAACGGAGTACGAGATATACGGTGAATTAAACCACTACCATACTCATACAACGGAGTACGAGATATACGGTGAATTAAACCACTACCATACTCAAACCTTCTATATGTATTACAGCTCATACAACGGAGTACGAGATATACGGTGAATTAAACCACTACCATACTCAAACCTTCTATATGTATTACAGATCATACAACGGAGTACGAGATATACGGTGAATTAAACCACTACCATACTCATACAACGGAGTACGAGATATACGGTGAATTAAACCACTACCATACTCAAACCTTCTATATGTATTACAGCTCATACAACGGAGTACGAGATATACGGTGAATTAAACCACTACCATACTCAAACCTTCTATATGTATTACAGATCATACAACGGAGTACGAGATATACGGTGAATTAAACCACTACCATACTCATACAACGGAGTACGAGATATACGGTGAATTAAACCACTACCATACTCAAACCTTCTATATGTATTACAGCTCATACAACGGAGTACGAGATATACGGTGAATTAAACCACTACCATACTCAAACCTTCTATATGTATTACAGATCATACAACGGAGTACGAGATATACGGTGAATTAAACCACTACCATACTCATACAACGGAGTACGAGATATACGGTGAATTAAACCACTACCATACTCAAACCTTCTATATGTATTACAGCTCATACAACGGAGTACGAGATATACGGTGAATTAAACCACTACCATACTCAAACCTTCTATATGTATTACAGCTCATACAACGGAGTACGAGATATACGGTGAATTAAACCACTACCATACTCAAACCTTCTATATGTATTACAGATCATACAACGGAGTACGAGATATACGGTGAATTAAACCACTACCATACTCATACAACGGAGTACGAGATATACGGTGAATTAAACCACTACCATACTCAAACCTTCTATATGTATTACAGATCATACAACGGAGTACGAGATATACGGTGAATTAAACCACTACCATACTCATACAACGGAGTACGAGATATACGGTGAATTAAACCACTACCATACTCAAACCTTCTATATGTATTACAGCTCATACAACGGAGTACGAGATATACGGTGAATTAAACCACTACCATACTCAAACCTTCTATATGTATTACAGCTCATACAACGGAGTACGAGATATACGGTGAATTAAACCACTACCATACTCAAACCTTCTATATGTATTACAGCTCATACAACGGAGTACGAGATATACGGTGAATTAAACCACTACCATACTCAAACCTTCTATATGTATTACAGCTCATACAACGGAGTACGAGATATACGGTGAATTAAACCACTACCATACTCAAACCTTCTATATGTATTACAGCTCATACAACGGAGTACGAGATATACGGTGAATTAAACCACTACCATACTCAAACCTTCTATATGTATTACAGCTCATACAACGGAGTACGAGATATACGGTGAATTAAACCACTACCATACTCAAACCTTCTATATGTATTACAGCTCATACAACGGAGTACGAGATATACGGTGAATTAAACCACTACCATACTCAAACCTTCTATATGTATTACAGCTCATACAACGGAGTACGAGATATACGGTGAATTAAACCACTACCATACTCAAACCTTCTATATGTATTACAGCTCATACAACGGAGTACGAGATATACGGTGAATTAAACCACTACCATACTCAAACCTTCTATATGTATTACAGCTCATACAACGGAGTACGAGATATACGGTGAATTAAACCACTACCATACTCAAACCTTCTATATGTATTACAGCTCATACAACGGAGTACGAGATATACGGTGAATTAAACCACTACCATACTCAAACCTTCTATATGTATTACAGCTCATACAACGGAGTACGAGATATACGGTGAATTAAACCACTACCATACTCAAACCTTCTATATGTATTACAGCTCATACAACGGAGTACGAGATATACGGTGAATTAAACCACTACCATACTCAAACCTTCTATATGTATTACAGCTCATACAACGGAGTACGAGATATACGGTGAATTAAACCACTACCATACTCAAACCTTCTATATGTATTACAGCTCATACAACGGAGTACGAGATATACGGTGAATTAAACCACTACCATACTCAAACCTTCTATATGTATTACAGCTCATACAACGGAGTACGAGATATACGGTGAATTAAACCACTACCATACTCAAACCTTCTATATGTATTACAGCTCATACAACGGAGTACGAGATATACGGTGAATTAAACCACTACCATACTCAAACCTTCTATATGTATTACAGATCATACAACGGAGTACGAGATATACGGTGAATTAAACCACTACCATACTCATACAACGGAGTACGAGATATACGGTGAATTAAACCACTACCATACTCAAACCTTCTATATGTATTACAGCTCATACAACGGAGTACGAGATATACGGTGAATTAAACCACTACCATACTCAAACCTTCTATATGTATTACAGATCATACAACGGAGTACGAGATATACGGTGAATTAAACCACTACCATACTCATACAACGGAGTACGAGATATACGGTGAATTAAACCACTACCATACTCAAACCTTCTATATGTATTACAGCTCATACAACGGAGTACGAGATATACGGTGAATTAAACCACTACCATACTCAAACCTTCTATATGTATTACAGATCATACAACGGAGTACGAGATATACGGTGAATTAAACCACTACCATACTCATACAACGGAGTACGAGATATACGGTGAATTAAACCACTACCATATTAAAACCTTCTATATGTATTACAGCTCATACAACGGAGTACGAGATATACGGTGAATTAAACCACTACCATACTCAAACCTTCTATATGCCTTACAGATCATACAACGGAGTACGATATAAACGGTGAATTAAACCACTACCATACTCATACAACGGAGTACGAGATATACGGTGAATTAAACCTCTTCCATACTCAAACCTTCTACATGTATTACAGATCATACAACGGAGTACGAAATACACGGTTAATTAAACCACTACCATACTCAAACCTTCTACATGTATTACAGAATTTACTTCAGTTTCAACTTCGATGTTCTCAAACTTGTTTTGCAATAGTCAATTTATTCGTGTTTATTAAAGAAAAAACATTCATTATCATTCATTAATTATCAAAACAATGTTTGCTCAAATGATTGGATGAGGAAAAAGTATGTACCCAAGTAAAGGCAGAAATGCAAAAACGGTCTTATCAGAAGCATTTCGACCTGACCTTTATAATCTGTCTATTTTGGAGAACGTTTTTGTTCTAGTTTTACACGGTCGAGTTAGACACGTGTACATTGTCAGTCAAAATATGTTCTACAATGTAAAGCTACGGAAGTTTTCATTAAGTTTCCAAGTATCAAGAGATTGCTACTTTCAATTGTTAAGTAATAACACTATACGGATTGATTCCATGGAAGACTACGACAGACAATGTGCAAAACGAGAGAACTGGTTATTTTTTTCAGATAGGGCAAAATTTGTCACCTTGCAATCCAAAACGGAAACGAAACACAAATCTTTATTTCGTGTCCCCGTTGCCCAAAACCTGCCCAACGATCTGAATGATAAGTATGTGGTTGTATCTGCAGACACTTAGTTTGACTGCAGTCACAATTATCACATGTTCTGCTTGCACTAAACGAACTAGACGTTCTTGATAATCAAGGAACCCTACCCATACATTTTCCAATATCTCGAAGGAAAAGTACGACTTAAACAAGTTTGATACCATGTTTCGGTATCAAGCTTTCCCTAAAGTGTCTAAAGACCGATTAATGGTAAAGGTACGGACCTGCCTCGTTTGTTATGGATTTTGAATCTTAACACAAATATGTATAAGCAGCGTTTTGTCGCTGGCTCTGCTAGTGTCTCTACTATTGCCGAAACTTCTAATTAACTTCTAATTGAATTCCTTTGTACAATGCAATCATGGATACAGTCGTATAGTGAAGCTACATACTCCATAAACGGAACTCATGGAGTGTGGGTTTTGAAGAACAAAGAAGATCTTTTATTATTCTCGAGGATTCTCCCCACAAAAATATTTCTTCTACCAGTAATTTTGATTTTGTTTCACACATTACAATAGCATGCATCATACAAACTGAAGGAACGGATTATTAGATAGTTCTTTTCGTACCATTGAAATCTTTTTGGGGCAAGTTTGTGAAAAACAAGGCAAATGCTCAGATGTGACATACTAGTACTAAAATAATCGTGAGAGTGATTGAGTTTATGGATGACAATAGCTTTGTTCAATTCAGTGGCTTCGTTTCTCAGCGAGTGTTATTTGGGGGGAAACTTTGCCCGTCTTCTGGCATCCTCGGTTATGCTCGCTCACGCTCTCTGCACCCCTGGAATATGTAATAGCAAAATTGAAGGCACAAAGACAGCTGTTTGATTGGTATCAGGTAAAAAAAAACTGACCAATCGCTAGGTTGATACCTGTCCTTTGAAGCTAACAAAGAGACGACGTCTGACTTCAAAGCCTGTCAAGTTTTACCGTTACGTGACCGCGAGATTCTTTTGATGTACATCAAAGGATCGAACTAGTCTTCTTGTCACATCAACAAGGTTGCGCACTCTCAGCCTTCAATTTTGCTATGACATATTCCAGGGGTGCAGAGAGCGTACGTGAGCGCAACCCCTTGATATCGAGGTTTGGTCTTCTGGTCGACCTGTTTTTGTTTTCATGTGAGGCTGACTTTAGTTGAGGGCTTATCAGGACTTGTAACAACAACCCTGCTGTTTCCTTCTATTTCACACTCAGCTGTATGATCAAAGTGAGGATTTCGATTTTACAATTGTGAACTTTCCCTCTCTTGATAGTAACATCACTATTTCCTCAATCAAGAGTATGTCGTGATTTTTTCGCCTTGAGAATGTGCAATTACTTAGATTTCACATAGATTTACATGGCAGGAGTTGTCGGTGAAGCAAAAGACATTCTTGCTTCCGAAACATCTTGTCTCAATATCCTCGTTCTTGTTCTGGATTCTGCATTTAAACGTTTCAATTATTTTTTAACTTTATCGACTTACAGTTCGAATGCCTGTTTATTGACATTTAGGTTTCCTCTTCCTTTAAAATGATATATAATTGTCTTCAGTCTGATTGAAATATAATTATCATTGGAGACTTCTTATATCTAAAAATGATGTGGGACGAATTCGATTCATCCAGGAAAATACTGTTCTGTGTATTTATCCTTTCTTTGTAATATAAGTAAAAACAAAGTTTACATTTCGGTTTTTGCCGTAAATTAAACAGTAAAAAAGAAAATTGTCTTTAAATTACGCTTATCATGTATACGTATGTCTGATTGTTGTCACAAGGTAAGTAGTGGTGGATCTATGGACAATACGAGTGTCTGGATCACTAGCCCTCTACCATTAGGTCGCAGGCTCGAAGCTTGCGTGGGGCAGTCGCCAGGTATTTACTGCAGGTCGGTTGCTTTTTTCCAGGTACTCCGGCTTTCCTTCACCACCAAAACCTTACACATCCTTAAATGATACAAACAAACCAAACTATATAGGTATTGTAATGGTAGTGTTTACAGTGGCAGTCTTATACCTACTTACGTCGGGACATATGTTAATGTATCTATATTTTATGAAAGTACAGTGCTTTAATAAAATCCTTAATGTTTTAGGTATGATGTCACCACGGATGCTGGAGATACAAGTATACTATGTACGTGTAAATTTGATTTTAAGATAATCTAAACATCAAATTTTCATCATTTTGCCCATCTGGTAATCGTCTTCCTTTGTGTTTTACGTTCTGCTATATAATTTTTTACATACAGATTTTGCATTTTACTTACACTTGTATGCCCAAGATGAAATTAAGATAACAGCAATTACATTGAAAGGTTTTGATACAATTTTAGAAAACCAATTTCACATTTTAACCTTTTTCTAACTGCTGTCGATACAAATGATATTTGTTTATTTCATAGATGCTGCTAATACCGACTCAATCTGTAAGACAAGTGACCCGTTTGCTATTATAGAGTATGGAAAGACTGCCTTCCCAGCCTACTCCATAGCGAGGACACTCGGTACTATGTAAGTTTCAGTGGATCTGCTTTGCAAAATTTTGATATGAAATCCAATGTTGAAGTGAGATCATTTTTAAAACAAATATATTGATATTAAATTCCTTGTTGGTAATAGATACATATTGTGATATATAATGCTGGTATGCTATTGCACGTCGATACATGAGCATATATACTTATAATACTATATACAATGTTGATATGTGGGCTCATATTTATATTGGATCACTTATAATTCTATATACAATGTTGATACGTGGGATCATATTTATATTGGATCACTTATAATACTATATACAATGTTGATATGTGGGCTCATATTTATATTGGATCACTTATAATACTATATAAAATGTTGATACGTGGGATCATATTTATATTGGATCACTTATAATTCTATATACAATGTTGATATGTGGGCTCATATTTATATTGGATCACTTATTATACTATATAAAATGTTGATACGTGGATCATATTTATATTGGATCACTTATAATACTATATACAATGTTGATATGTGGGATCATATTTGTATTCGATCACTTATAATGTATATAAAACGTTGATTTGTGATCTCGTGTTCATATTCAATCACCTATTATTTTATAAAAAAAATGCCAATTTTTATTTGATCACCTGTTGCTATGTTATTTCCATGAGGTAGGCTTGGAATTACTGATGATAGCTCGTGTGGTGAGGGCGGAACAGGCAAGGTGATGGATATTCAATCCAGCCCAGTTAGACAAGAGTTCGGCACTGGGTCAGGCAACTCGTTTAATTGGACCAGCTGCTCAGCGCAACAGTTTACCACAAGGCTAGCGTAGGTTGCTTAACTTTCGTCTATAACAGTTATGATTGTTATATATAACGGTGAATCTGATTGGATATTATTGATCAGGTGACTGTAAAAAAACGCCATATTTCGCTCGCGCGATTAAATTCCCCTGGTAATTTTTCCGTCAATGAAAGTTTCTCTAGAACAAAATGAGTAAAATGAATCACCCTTGAGTTCTGAATGACTCTTGCAGACGACAATAATTGCGCAAAGGCCTCAAATCTAACCATCCGTCATCGACCCAAGATCCCGATAACAGCCCGAGGGCTATTAGTATTTTTTACTTATGCTGGGACTTATTTTGGACTACCTTAAATGATAAATTATATCGTGCTGGGACAACTTTAGGGATATTTTAAGACATTTTCAATATTTACTTCTGCTGGGACAAATTTGGGATGACTCTAAGATGGAACCACCTTCGCATAAATTCAAGCTTGTTGTGAAAAACTGGCAAGCACTATAGGTTAAGGAAAGCAAGGCTTAAATTTAAGAGGAGAATAGACAAAATTACAAATTTCAATGGAACACTTTAGTTTCCGGAAGTAAATAAATAAGTAAGAAAGAAATTATGTGTTAATTGAAGGACCTAAATTCAGGAAGCCATTGATTAAATAGAAGACTTCAATTTATGGACTGTTGCAGTCTTTTTAAGTAAAATATACCATTGAGAAACATGTCTCAAATCGTTTATGGATTTTTTCTGGTTTTTGACAAAAATTCTAAGTACATTGTACTTGCAGAACATGAACGGGGAATCTCCTTTTTTAAAACCAAAGTACATCCCCATTCGCAATAAGAACAAACATGTAATCATGCAATGAGTGTTAAAAAACTATAATAATGTTCAGCATAAACCTATACGATGATAGATCGAAATCAATACTCCTACATGTCTTTGAGTAACGTAATATCTGATAATGATAGTTTTGTATATAAAGAAAATATATTATGTTCTTTAAATTAGATAAATCATCAATTTCTATTAATTATTCGGAAACCTGAATTCCAAAGAATAGTGATAATCCTCTTGATAATGGAGTAAGGTTTATTTAAATCTGGATATTAGAAATCGTAGTAAATAAATTTGGATATTCAGAGTAACGGTATTGTTCACACAGGTAATTGTACCATTGAAATTTAGTTATGTACTCAGCATGCCAACAATTAGTAACACAGCATGATACAGCTGTACAGAGGAGATGAAGAAGGTTGTAGTATATGTACTTTCTATAACCCTCAACAGATCGGACGGCGCATGTCTAAATAACTTGGCTCAGCCCGCTTACTATGATGACGATCGACTTTTAGGCGGTGCAGGAACAAGTATTTCAATTGATCGACAGTGTCAAATAGCCTACGGATTCGATTCCCCTGTGTGTAACGTAAGTACGTCATTTGTCCTGGTAAGCACTCTCAATCTTTGATATTCCGTCTTTTCGTATTGCACTGTTATCTGCTCTTGTGAGCAGGTATTGATGGTACGTCATTTGTTTGTGAGAGTAGCGTCATCAATTTTTGGGAAACGACGTAATTTTCTCACACAAACTAATGACGTGACAATCAAAACCTGCTCACAAGAGCAGATAACTCTGCAATACGAAAAGACGGAATAGCAACCTTGTAACCTATATTGTAAATGTAAAATATATTGTAGTCTGATGCACTTAAAAGCAAATATGAATACTGAAACAAAATACATAAGGACGCCTATGATCAACGAAAATCCAATTTCTCTAAAGTACATGTTCATTGATAAAGCCTTCAGCTAATTAATTAATCTGGGATCTCAAATCAAGAGAGTATTGGAATATAATGAACATTGAGGAGGAAATATCCACTTTGGAATAATTATGAAAATAAAATTAACATCCATTGTTTTTTCAAAAAAAAGACCATGTCTAGTATAATATGATTTAATATAATAGCATTGTATGGTGATTTATATGTGAAAAGAAATCTGCAGAGTAGGTACCACTCCATTCCATGTGTCCAGTGTTCTCCTGTATAGTAATTTAATTACGGAATAGCTCTTTACGATACATTTCTATTTATTACATCTTCATCCATCCTCGATACTTCAGGGGTTCGCTTTCTGCACCCATGGATATGTCATATCCAAATTGAAGGCAATTTTAATGTCATAAGTTTAAAAGTCAAGGTCAAATTTTGCATCTTTTCACTGATTAACATTGCATGACATGATGAAACAAGGTTGATCAGAATAAAACGAGAAGTCAACTAACCAAGGTCATCGTGTCAGAGGTCGACGTCACTGGGTCAAAGGTCAAGGTCAAATTTTGTAGCTTTTCACTAATGAGCAATTTATGATATTATGAAGTAAAGTTGGTCGGAATTAAACAAGGAGTCAACTGACAAAAGGCCAAGATCATTGGGTCAACGGTCAAGGCTAAATTTGGTATATATTCACTGGTGAAAATTTCGTTATGACACTTTGAAGCAATGTTGCTCAGAATAAACAAGGAGTCTTTTGACCATAAGTTCAAGGTCATTGGGTCAGCTGTCAAGGTCACATGTTGTATCTTTTCACTGATTAACATTTTGGTAAAACATTATGAAGATGTTGGTCGGAATTTAACAAGGAGTCAACTAACTTAAGATCAATGTCACTGGGTCAAAGGTCAAGGTCAAATTTTGTAGCTTTTCATTAATGAGCAATTTATGATATTATGAAGTAAAGTTGGTCGGAATTAAACAAGGAGTCAACTGACAAAAGGTCAAGGTCATTTGGTCAAAGGTCAAGGTTAAATTTGGTATATATTCACTGGTGAACATTTCGTTATGACACTTTGAAGCAATGTTGCTCAGAATAAACAAGGAGTCATTTAACCAAAAGTTCAAGGTCATTGGGTCAGCTGTCAAGGTCACATGTTGTATCTTTTCACTGATTAACATTTTGGTAAAACATTATGAAGATGTTGGTCGGAATTTAACAAGAAGTCAACTAACTTAAGATCAAGGTCACTGGGTCAATGTCAAGGTCAAATATTGCATCTTTTTACTGATGAACATTTTTGTTGTGCTATTATGAAGCTAAGTTGTTCAGAACATTTTGTTATGATATTATGAAGCAATGTTGGTCGGAATAAAAGAATAGGTCAACTAACCAAAGATCAGGCTCACTGGGTTAATATAAACTTTATTTCATTCCAAATTAAGTTGCATTACATCACATAACATACAAAGTACAGAGGAATGGGATCCGGAAACAAGTTGAAATAACTCACTGGGTTAAAGGTCAAGGTCATTTTGGTCCAAAGGTCAAAGACAAAGTGGATCTCTGACTTTGACCCTGGTTCTTGATGGGGGAGGTATTTAATGTTTAATAAAACTAATCAAAGCTAACAAATGAGTATTGCACCGGTATTTACATTTCTGTTAGTCCAGCAAATATGGAGGTGGAAGGAATCAAGACTCACATCATAGTACATGTAAAATGTATATTTTGCTTCCTTGCGATTCTTTTTTAAGTCCAAATGCCAAATGTCAAGCTCAGCTATATGGGCAGATTGCTTCTAGATGATGGGGGATATATTGCCACAAGACGGGGCCCTTACTGAACTGTCAGTGTTCTAGTTTTGTCTGATATTTTCCTTGTTTTCTTGTCTTCGAAGTCTCATACATTAAGGTGTGTTTGTTTTCACATGTGTCTGTCTTTACGGGTACTTACCAACTCAATATGTCCTTGAAGTTTTGTTTCAAAGGTACATCTTCTACCTCATTACGTCCCTAAACTTTGCTTTCAAATGTGAACCTACCTACTCTCAACAACCCTAAGCTTTGTTTTCACAGGTAGCTGTCGGTTAAAATATAAACGTTTTTTATTTAACAACATTTATGAAACAAAATTTTATAACTTATACTTATCACTCGCGTGGGCCCGGATGTTCACCGGAGCAGATAACTCTGCAATATAAAAAGACGGAATAGCAACCTTGTAACCTATATTGTAAATGTAAAATATATTGTAGTCTGATGCACTTAAAAGCAAATATGAATACTGAAACAAATTACATAAGGACGCCTATGATCAACGAAAATCCAATTTCTCTAAAGTACATGTTCATTGATAAAGCCTTCAGCTAATTAATTAATCTGGGATGTCAAATCAAGAGAGTATTGGAATATAATGAACATTGAGGAGGAAATATTCACTTTGGAATAATTATGAAAGTAAAATTAACATCCATTGTTTTTTCAAAAAAAGACCATGTCTAGTATAATATGATTTAATATAAAAGCATTGTATGGTGATTTATATGTGAAAAGAAATCTGCAGAGTAGGTATCACTCCATTCCATGTGTCCAGTGTTCTCCTGTATAGTAATTTAATTACGGAATAGCTCTTTACGATACACTTCTTTCCTTGTTTTCTTGTCTTCGAAGTCTCATACGGTAAGGTGTGTTTGTTTTCACATGTGTCTGTCTTTACGGGTACTTACGAACTCAATATGTCCTTGAAGTTTTGTTTCAAAGGTACATCTTCTACCTCATTACGTCCCTAAACTTTGCTTTCAAATGTGTACCTACCTACTCTCAACAACCCTAAGCTTTGTTTTCACAGGTACCTGTCGGTTAAAATATAAAACTTGTTTTATTTAACAACATTTATGGAACAAAATTTTATAACTTATACTTATCACTCTTGTTGGCCCGGATGTTAGCGCGGGAGGAGTTGGGGGGTCTTAAGGTTGGGGAAACTGAAGTACCCAGAAAAACCCACGTGGTCGGGCCGGTGACCCCCATACCTTGTCACGTCCTATCGGGGAATCTAATACCGGCCGTCTTTGTGATAGGCAAGTGCGCAATCCACTGCGCCACCTGACCACCCTGTCGATTCTAGTCATTGTAAAACTTTGTTTTAACAGGTACCGACAATGAAAATGTAGAAACTTTGGTAGCTACATCCTTAAGATTCGCATTCACAGGTATTCATAGCCTTTGTATATCATATTGAGCTTTGCTTTGGCAGGTACTTTACGACTCTTTTTATCCCTTAGCTTTGCTTTCAAAGGTGTATCTACCGACTCTCAACATCCCTAATCTCTGTTTTCAAAGGTATATCTACCGACTGTCAACATCCCATATCTCTGTTTTCAAAGGTATATCTACTAACTCTCAACATCTCTAAGCTCCATTTTCAAAGGTGTATCTACCGACTGTCAACATCCCTAATCTATGCATTCAAAGGTATATCTACTAACTCTCAACTTCCCTAAGCTCCGTTTTCAAAGGTGTATCTACCGACTGTCAACATCCCTACGCTTTGCTTTCAAATTTGTATCTACCGACTGTCAACATCCCCCAGCTTTGCTTTCAAATGTGTATCTGCCGACTGTCAACATCCCTAAGCTTTGCTTTTAAATGTGTACCTACCGACTGTCAACATCCCTCAGCTTTGCTTTCAAAGGTGTATCTGCCGACTGTCAACATCCCTAAGCTTTGCTTTCAAAGGTGTATCTGCCGAATGTCAACATCCCTAAGCTTTGCTTTCAAATGTGTATCTGCCGACTCCCAACATCCCTAAGCTTTGCTTTTAAAGATGAATCGACCTACTCTCAACATCCCTAAGCTTTGCTTTTAAATGTGTACCTACAGACTGTCAACATCCCTTAGTTGTGCTTTCAAGGGTGTATCTTCCGACTGTCAACATTCCTTAGCTTTGCTTTTAAATGTGTACCTTCCGACTGTCAACATCCCTAAGCTTTGCTTTCAAAGATGAATCCACCGGCTCTCAACATCCTTGATCTCTTTTTTCAAAGGTGTATCTGCTGACTTACAACATTCCTAAACTTTGCTTTTACAGGTGTATCTACCGACTGTCAACATCCGCTAGCTTTGCTTTTACAGGTGTATCTACCGACTGTCAACATCCCTAAGCTTTGCTTTTAAATGTGTATCTGGCGACTGTCAACATCCCTAAGCTTTGCTTTCAAACGTGTACCTACTTACTCTCAACATCCCTAAGCCCTGTTTTCAAATGCGTATCTACCGACTGTCAACATTCCTAAGCTTTGCTTTTACAGGTGTATCTACTAACTCTCAACATACCTAATCTCTGCTTTCAAAGGTGTATCTACTGACTGTCAACATTCCTAAGCTTTGCTTTTACAGGTGTATCTACCGACTGTCAGCATTTCTAAGCTTTGCTGTTACAGGTGTATATACCGACTGTCAACATTCCTAAGCTTTGCTGTTACAGGTGTATCTACTGACTGTCAACATTTCTAAGCTTTGCTGTTACAGGTGTATCCATCGACTGTCAACATTTCTAAGCTTTGCTGTTACAGGTGTATCTACTGACTGTCAACATTTCTAAGCTTTGCTGTTACAGGTACCTGTAGACCCTGATACGTTCTGCACAGATGGTATCACCTGCTTGAACAGCACCAACGGGGAGTGTGTGAATATGTTTGTGTTTGAGGGGACCTCGTGCAACAGTTCTCCTGGTAACGATTATGTAAGTAAACTGATCTTATTTCACACAGATGTACACTTAACTTAGCTTCTATGGCAAACTGGCATTCAATATAAAACTTTCTTCTACACTAGCCGAAACAGTACCTCATTCACCTTTGGTATCTTAGTAGAATGGCCTGCCAATGTGTTTTGGACTCTTATTAAATGGTAATCATATGGTGCTTGTATTTTCGTTTTTGAATGGCAGTTTGGTGTGTTATCTATTATTTAAGGAAGATGTTTTTATTTTACTATGAATAAATGATTTGTTAGTTTGTTGTTGAATAGCATTGTATATTTTGCTGTTTTCTTGCTCTTTTTTTCTTTTGGAAGTTAAGTTGAGTATTTTATGGTGGTAGGATGACTGTTTGTATGATGATGGTGCTTTGTTTATAGATTGGTACCAATTTTTGTAATCTTTGTTATTTTGTAGTTCGTCATACGTGTCACATTTTTTTATTCATTATTAAAATTTTAATATATATGTCTTTTGAAAAAAGGCTAAAAAATTAAGGTAAGTGAGGAAACCAAATATACATTAACCTTATTATGTATTATATCTTAATTAAAATTGCAATGTTATTTTGAGGAAAAGTGATTCTGTACTTCATATGTGTCTGCATGTATATGTGCAATAATTATTCCAGTGGTGCCAGGATGGTTTCTGTGTCCTGGAACCACGAACAACTACCACTACCAATCCGACAACTACCACTACAACCCCGACAACTACCACTACCACTCCGATAACTACCACTACAACCCCGACAACAACCACTACCACCCCGACAACTACCACTACAACACCGACAACTCCCACTACAACCCCGACAACTCCCACTACAACCCCGATAACTACCACACAACCCCGACAACTACCACTACCACTCCGATAACTACCACTACAACCCCGACAACTCCCACTACAACCCCGACAACTACCACTACAACCCCGATAACTACCACTACCAATCCAACAACCACAACTACCCCAACAACCACAACTACAGAACGGACCACATCGAAAGTCACAGCCTCAAGTCCAACAGCTACTTCCACTTGGCCAACAATCAAACCGTCAGTTAACTCGTATCCGTCCTCGCCTTCCTCTCTCCTTTCCACATTCTTTACCAAGTATCCTGTGAGTGGCACTACACACGGGAAAAAGCCAAAGAAACCTAAAGGCGTTATGTACGGCTCCAGTTTCTACAACACAATTACAAAGGCATCACAGGGGGCCAAGACGTATACACGGATTTACTATTAAACGCACAAATCTAGTCCTACTTCAACTCCCACTAACTAGTCCTACACCACCTCCCACAAGTCCTACATTAACTGCCACTAGTCCTACGCCAACTCCCACTAGTCCTACGTCAACTCCCAATAGTCCTACATTAACTGCCACTAGTCCTACATCAACTCCCACTAACTAGTCCTACACCACCTCCCACAAGTCCTACATTAACTGCCACTAGTCCTACGCCAACTCCCACTAGTCCTACGTCAACTGCCACTAGTCCTACTTTAACTGCCACTAGTCCTACATCAACACCCACTAGTCCTACGTTAACTCCCACTAGTCCTACATTAACTCATACTAGTTCTACATCAACTCCAACTAGTCCTACATTAACTCCCACTAGTCCTACATAAAATCCCACTAGTCCTACATCAACTCCCACTAGTCCTACATTAACTCCCACTAGTCCTACATTAACACACATTAGTCCTACATCAACTCCTACTAGTTCTACATAAACTCCCACTAGTTCTACATCAACTCCCACTAGTCCTACTTCAACACCCACAAGTCCTACATCAACTCCCACTATTCCTACATCAACACCCACAAGTCCTACATCAACTCCCACTAGCCCAACATTAACTCCCACTAGTTCTACATCAACTCCCACTATTCCTACATCAACACCCACAAGTCCTACATCAACTCCCACTAACTAGTCCTAAATTAACTTGCACTAGAACTATATCAACTGCCACTAATCCTACATTAACTCCCAATAGTCCTAAATTAACTACCACTAGTCTATTATTAAATTCCACTAGTCCTACAACAACTCCCACTAATCCTACGTCAACTTTCACTAGTCCTACATTAACTCCCATTATCCTAAATCAACTCCCGCTAGTCCTAAATCAACTCCTACTAGTTCTACACTAACTCCCACTAGTCCTACATTAACTCCTACTAGTTCTACATCAACTCCCACTAGTCCTACATTAACTCACACTAGTCCTAAATCAACTCCCATAAGTCCTACATTAACTTCCACTAGTGCTACACCAACTCCCACTAGTCCTACATTAACCCGCACTAGTCCTTAATCAACTTCCACTAGTCCTTAATTAACTTCCACTAGTCCTACATTAACTTGCACTAGTCCTAAATTAACTCCCACTAATCCTACATCAACTCCCACTTGTCCTACATCAAATACCACTAGTCATAAATTAAATTCCATTTGTCTGAAATCTTTTTCCATTATTTCTTTTTTCACTAGTTCGTTAGCAACTTCCGCTTGACCTACATCACCTCCCACTTGTTCTTCATCAAATTCTTCTAGTCCTACATCAACTTTTGCATGCCTTTTGACCAGGGGTCATTCTTTATGGATTCATATAAACACCATACTTGAGCTTCAAAGGAGAGGGAGAAACCTATCTTTTACGCGAATGTATTGTTGGAAAACTTCAATATCGATACTTAAAATACTTGTATTAATAACGCAAATTTTTTAGTGCATTTCTGATCTTGTGGAGATTTATTAAATACTTAGTAATTTCATTTTGATTGTTCTTAATTTTTTCCCGGGACTGACAAAATGAAACCGGAAAAATGGAAAAGATCACGCTTTTTTAAAACCCGACCCAGGTTTTTGAAAAAGTTCATGCTGAGAAAATACAACATGGCCAGAAAGTGTTCTAAACGTTTTCTTCAGGTTTGGTCAGTTTGGGTTGTATAAAAGATCATATAACACAAGTGATTATTCATGTGACACGTTTCGATGACTATTAAGACTTTAGTGACAAAGATGAATAATGTACATTAGTGAAATTATTCAACTCGAACGCGCCTTTCATTTCTTGTCTACGAAGACTTTAGTGACAAAGATGAATAATGTACATTAGTGTTATGATTCAACTCGAACGCGCCTTTCATTTCTTGTATACGAAGATTTAGTGACAAAGATGCGTAGAAGTGAACACAATGTAAATCAGTATAAAAACCAATTTGTATTATAAATGTATTGTACTGTCCGCCGGACATGTTATAGCTTTATCTGTTTATAAAATAAATGTAGTATTTTTCTTATTGAGCAGTTCTTGCTAAGATCATATAATACCTATTACATATTTCCAAATACCTGTCTCAACAAGAACCCATATTCAAAACTTTAACCTCAACCGGCATTTTATTTCGTTTTAATTTTTCAAACCAACATTCACACATTTACAACAACCATCAAAGTAAAAGGTTTGGATTTCAATATCATCCATTGTTGTTCCTGCAGTCATGTCCAGATCTGTCTTCAATACCACGGCAGTTGTCAGTACTTGGTTTGTCATACACCTACACCCGTCACAGCCAACAGCCTGGCTAAATTATAAACAGGTGGAAATGAAATTATCTTCTGTTTGCCATTAACTCACCCTTAACTCACCCTTAACTCACCGTTAAATCACCCTTAACTCACCGTTAACTCACCGTTAACTCACCGTTAAATCACCCTTGACTCACCGTTAACTAACCCTTAACTCACCCTTAACTCGCCCTTAACTCACCCTGAACTCACTCTTAACTCACCGTTGTCGACGTCATACTATGAGTCAGTGACTACTACTGACTGGTGTAACTGGTACACACTCACGGTCTGTACCTCCCGCTCTGTAACATGCGGGGCTATACAACACATCTTTCGGTAAATCAAGCAACTATTCTCTATAACCTTATCAACAATACACAAAATCAAAACAGAATTGATGTATAAATTATACATTAAATTTACCTTTAGACATCTTTACATTTATGTTAAAAAGGGCTAAAATTGTTGTATTAATATCGTTACCTGCAATTCTCGATTTGGAAAAACTGTCTGGTATTTTTAAGCTGTACCAACGTTCTGGCTTGTCCCTCGATATTTCTCTGTGTCGTCGGGCTAATATGATAGAAATTTCTGTAAATATAAAGTCATTTGTTCTCATTTTATGAATCATGGGGAAAAAGAAGAAAAACGTTTTCGTCATTTCTAGAGCACTGAAAATTAAATCAATTAACACACTGAAAGTATGACTAATCAACAAAATGTTTAGCTGAGAGATTAGGTTTTGAACATTGTTTATATTGGTATTGTAGTTAAAGGCAACTGTTGATCAGAATTGAACCTCTTCCTAACAAGACCAATCTGTTATGGCGTCGTTATTAACTACACAGCATGGTTTATACAGCAAGATAGCAAATAGAAAGCGGAAGAGAAAACAAGAGGAAATAATTAGTTATGAACAAGTTGCATGCATTGTCATTTATAATATTATGATCATTATTTTCATTTTGTTAAAAGAAATTAACAATGGATAGTTCAGAGCTCCAATACGTTTTAAATCATTTCAAACGCAATATAAAAAGTGTAAGTAGGTTAGTGAGTAAATTGATAGTAATTACGTTTACAAATACTGATTATTATGAAAAGTGTCTCAGAGATTTTAAAATTTTCAAAACGGTAGATTTGCATGGACAGTTGGAACTAGGGAAAACGATGTTATAATTAATACTAGTTGTCATCTATGCACGCAAGTGACTATATAACCTAAGGTCAACAAAATACAAATCAACAGATCACTTCAATTCACTGAAGGAAACATCACAAAGCGAGTTATAGCATCTGTTTACTTGAACCTCAAATAGTAAATGACCTACTCATTTTCTTTTAAAGGACAATTCAGTATAATAAACATTTAACGTGAATGAAATACAAATAAGAAACAAACATAACAAGAAACAAGAAACGAAAGGCATCCTGGACACTCCATGGGTTTACGCTCACTTTTACTCTCTTCACCCCTGGAATATGTCATAGCGAAATTGAAGGCACGCGGCTAGCTATTTGATTGGTCGCAGGTAAAAACAAAAACTGGTCAATCTCTAGGCTGAATAAAGATTTTGCTATGCCACATTCTGGGGGTGCAGAGAGCGAACGTGAGCGCCACCCCTAAAGTATCGGGGACGAACGAAAGATCGACAAAAAAAGGGTTGAGACCTTGACGACAAAACTCAAGGCAACACAGTGCACCAGTAACATTAGAACACAATATATCACAGTGTACCACTTACGACACACAACATCCGTGATACAAGGAATTATCTGCATATGACATTGATGACCTTTTGTTTCGTATTCTAGGCATGCGCGACACGCCTGTGACATTTGAAGCCATCATTTTTGCTCGCACTGCATTCGGGTGCATGGTCACTGGCGACATAGGTTTCGGAACACCTTGGTTTGGAGAATCGCACGAAACGCTACATGTTGTAGGGACGTCGATAAACCTTTTAACTGGTTTGAAGTCCTTGAATTTGGGTTTGATGCCTATGACGTCAGTTTGTTGGTCCATGGTTCGGAACATACCAGGATATGCAGACATTAGCGCTTCCGGATTCACTAAGACGTTTCCTTGTACATTCGGGTTACTGCAAATGAAAAAATAACTAACAAAGCGTTTTGCAGGAATATATGTAAAATGTATGGCCATCAAGGCTGCCTAAAAACATCCACTAATAAAGGCCTACGTATATAACAGAAATGCCATAATGACGAAGATCTTTTTATTTCACCAGTTTGTTTGGATTTTACGAAACATATAAAAAATTATATATCTTTACTGATATTTTTAATACCAACACGTCAAAAATACATTACCTATCCTTTCGGCTTATCTCCCTTATTATCAGAACGGTGACAGCAGCAATTGTGGTCATGATGAAGAAAACGAGTAGTACCAACTGTTAAATATTGAGAGAGAAAAAATACTTATCAAGTATTCTGAAGTGTCATAAACACTTATTTCGAACTCAAAATCGATAAGACTTGAACCAGATTCGAACAAATGAAATATGTATATACAAATAAGACCATTTGTTCCGCAAGGGTAAGCGTCTTCCGTATTCTTATTTCATTAATATTTGTTACTCGTGGTTAAATACTCATTTGTATTCATCTTTATTTCTGACCCACGGTAAAAATGAGTTACATACACATATCTTACACACAGTGACAACTCGTATGTTTCTTACACACAGTGAAAAAAATCCATGTCGCTTGAATGTTTGCTGTTTGGAATAAATAGTTAACACGTATTTTGTCACATTTAATTTGATATGGTTACCGTCTAGTATGAACATTTTAAAACATTTGCTCGATACACTTGTGAAGAACGATGTTTTTTTCAACTTTTCTGCTATATTTAACCTTAACATTTTATTTTTATTTTAGAGTTCTCTCCATCACCGTACAGTATTTTAAAAAAGTAAATAACATCACAACCAGTTTATTTCCATACCATAATATCTTAGTAGTGTGTGAAAGTTACGATGGTGAAAAACCTTCAAGTACACGAAAAGGAGCGGTGTTTCTAAGCAAAACTCAAGGTCGTTAAAATTTAGCTTCACCAAGACGGTCGGAGTTTGAATCCCCGATCGGACGTGAATAGGTATTGGGTCACCTGCCCGACCACATGGGTTTACTCTGGGTTGACATTAACAGAGAAGATTTGTACTTACGATGGTTAAATGTGGGCGACAACTTAAAGGCTGTTTATGTTCCTCAGGTACTGGGTGCTGACGTCGGTAATTCCGAGCGCCATCTGTTGGCAAATGTTCTTCCTTGTGCCAATGAACGTGTTGGAATACTGTATTCGGTTGCCATGGCTGTATACAAGATAGATAAAGGAAAGATTAGTTTTATATATTTGAATACAGTTATTCATATTTACATCTCTCCCTTCATCAGCTTGGTAAACTCTGACTGCGTATATTTATACTCAAATAAAAAAGGCTCAGCGGTTTGATACCTGATTCAAATTTTGCGCTGTTCACACTTCAGCGAGATAACTGTTCGATGACAGCCATTGTTTGGTTCCCTCATCATCTAGAAACATAGAACATATTCGGAATCCATTATGTCTGATTATACAATAAAAGGGTGCTGGCACTTCTTATGCCATGTATGCACATCCAAAAGTCTTCAAATGTAAAGTAAACAATGGCGGCTTCCCTTTTGCGACGTTCGACCGCGTCACTACCAGAGCAGTTTTAATTTACTTGATATACACAAAATAAAGTTATAACAATATAATGGAGCATGCTATACACAACCGATATTGATAGAAATATGTATAGTCATACCGGAATACGCTCATTGTACTTTTCTTTTTATTGCTCCACAACATTTTTTGGAATACTGCCATATTTGGAGCTTCAGATTCAATATCCTTACAACAAAATGTCCTCATGCAAGAGGGCTCTCATTCATTCATTCTTTCATTCAGTCTTTTAATTATTCATTCAATTGTTTACTTATTCATTCATTCATTCCTTTTCATTACATCTTTCCTTTTACATTTAATCCGTGTTTACATTCATTCCTACATTTATTATTTCCATTCATTCACTCATTTCATCTATTTATTCATATATTTTGAAGGTTTACCATTCTTAATATATGCAAAGTTACTATATAATACTTAGTAAATGTACTGAGGCATGACACAGATGAGGCAGGAAGGAGGGAACCCTCTGACTGGCCAGCTAGGCACCAAAGATGTCAAAGATTTTATTTGTTCACTCAGTCGGACTAGTGCGAAACAAGAGGTCATACAGTTGGTACAATTTAAACATGGCGGGACATAATATGATACAGTAGGAAGTTGGTATAATAAAAAGTACGTTAAATAACAGAACTACCTTAACTATGTACATATAACTATGCTTTCAAAATTCTGCCTAATTTATCTAGAGATCTACTAATACGAGTGAAAACTGGTGTATTACAAATTGAGAAAATACCTTGCATTTTCGTCAAGCTTGGAATTTTACAATAATAATCTGGTATGTAAAATTTTCAAATATTGCATATCAAATCATATTCACATTTTAATAAATAGTGAAACTCATCCCCAATTTCCACATTACATAATGCACACTTTCGATCCTGGCGTGGCAAGCCAGCCCATCGGCCTGTTTCGATTGGTAAATGCATATTAGAAGTACGGAACTTTGCTATATATTTTCTGTCTGGTATTTAATTCCAAAAGATATTTTTCAAATTGAAATTGTCTCTTGAAAACAGAGTGCAGCTGTCCTCCAGAGGAGATTTCAATATCATTAAACCACTTTTAAATGAATTGGTCTTGTAACAGTTGTTTCAAAATTAATTTTAGATATTCTATTCTCGTCGTGCACGTGTTTTGATAATCCCAAATATTTATAATAATTAGGCCAGTTTGATACAGTATGTTTCTAATAAACTTTAGCCATTCAAATTCCATACTTCCATTTTCCTGTAGCTGAAACACCAATTTGTGATTTCTACTTGATAAGTTTTTATTAGATATGAGTTTATACCAAAAGGATATCTGCCAATTTCACCATATACCATGAAATTCGGTACTGCTTCGAAGATTTAGAATTCGTTTGCAAAATTGTAGGTGAATTTTCTCAATACATTTTGTGTTTTCGTAGCCCCAAACGTCAGCTGAGTATAATAAAATTGTCAGTACAAGGGAATCAAAAATCTTAAGTTGAAGGTCTAATGGCAAAATAATATTTCATATTTTCCTATAAACAGCAAAAAGTGTTTCTTTGTATTCACAAACGTGCCGTTGTAGTTGAAAATAACTCCAAGGTAAGAATACGATTCCGTTCTCTCAAGCTCCACATTGTATAATAAAAATGTAGGGTAACTCTTGCACTTTCTTTTCGAGAAAATAACAACTTTAGTATTTTGTATGTTGAAAGTAAGCTTCCAAAGTTTACTATACTTTTCAAATGCGTTAAGTGCATTTTGTAATCCAGTATCATCAGCATATAAGATGATGGATAATCTAATAAACAAGCCAATGCTATTACTTATTGACTCTACTGTTTGTAAACAATTTACTTCATTTTCCTGAAAAAAGTCTTCCAAATCATTCAGATATAGATTGCAACTAAGAACTGTGATAGATGTTCGCCTTGTTTTACGCCGATATTGCTTGCAAACATATCTGAAATCTCATTACCTTTTTCAACACAGGATTTTGAATTATCATACAATTTAACGATCACTTTTAAAATTAAAAGATACACCACTAATGAGTATGCGAGGGTAGCAAACATTTCAAACTAATAAGGGGAGATAACTACTAAAAAAAAAAAACAATTTAAGTAATATTTAAAATAAAATTAATTAAGATCGTTCTTATTAAAAAATGTTCGAATGGACCCCATTTATTTTGGAAGGGTAATAGAGATTTATTTTTCAACGCAAACTTCTGTACTTTCATTGTTTATGCAAAAATAATCTTACACATTTCAAAATTTGGAATGGAGTCTTTAATGCGACTACAGTATATATGATGTTTTATTAGTATCAGAAAATGGTTTAATAATAGTCCAATCTTTGAATTTCTAAAAAGGATATCTATAACTTTAAAAAATCAATAAATGGGTGTCTATTATCATGCTCAGTATACCAAACATTAAAATCATCCAATAATCTCTGTACATAATAGCATTGAGTAAAGATGTGTTGCAATATTTATATTTTTCTCTGTTACAGAATGTACATAATTGATTTGTTATTAATTTCATTTTTACTAGCTCTTTGTTAGTTGGTAGAATCCTATGATTGATTTTGTATTGGAAAGTTTGTAATTTTGTTTCTATTGTACAGTTCAATGCATTAATATAAATATCTTGCCAGTTTAAATCCTCGTCCATTTCAAAAACTGATTTCCATATTTCTTGGCTATTTTTGGGCATTTTTATGACATTTGCAACAAACTTTCTATAGATAAACTTTAAATCCTTGTAACTAAACATGAGCGAGACATTATCTTCCTCTCTAGTTGGTATTAAAACTTCATTATTTTCAATTTTGTTTCTGTATGTTTGCTTCCAGTTCTTATCAATTTTGTTTACTATGGAATAGTACTGAATAAAGTTTAAAGAAGGAATAGTTTCCGAATGATTGAAATCTCTTATTATGCCATTATGAAAAGGATCTCCAACTGTATCAAGACCACCTTGTGTTTTCCACCTTCTACAGAGCTTCATTATTCCATGTGGTAGCACTAAATTCTTACTGAGGTATTCTGACAAGGTATCCGGCTCACTCTGGATCTCAGACGAAGCATTGAGGATATCTCTCCGAAAAGGATTTCTAATAACGCTTATTGTACTTATAACACTACACACACAGTAAAATTATGAAACGATGTAATGGGGATTAGTTATAATGCATAACGGACATTGATAACAACATTCATTAAATAGTCATAACGCAACACGCGAATTGAATTCATAACGACATACGCAGTGTAAAGTTATAACAGTATACATTACATATATTCGTAACAGTTAACAAACTACCCTGTCAACAGTTATCAAACATTAAGTCATACCAAGATACACGTAGTCTAGTTGTTATGATAGACATCAACATTCAGTAAACTAACATATTTTAGCGGGATTCAAATGTTAGCGCTAATTTATGATTGCGGAAATCAAAGTTTCTGTATATATATATATATATACTTTGCTATCACATTAATTTTATGAGTTCATCGATTCATAAATGCGCTAATCTGTTAAAATTCTATTAAAATACGGTGACATTTGTGCACGCTAAAATTAGTGTTCTTTAAAGTATATCCTTAGTTTCCACAACATTGAGTTGCAATAAAATAAACCAAAGTAATCATAACACGCATACTGATGACTGGATATTTGATATAGGAGTTAATACCGATAGCTAGATGTGTAAGTACATATATACTGTACACGTATGTTTACCTGTAGCCTTATTTTAACGCTCTTCTCACTTTAGATTTAACGCTAACAATCGAAATCCCCTTATATTGTTTTCCATTGCATATTATGTGGGATCGCCAATTCATCAATGCGCTAATAGTCTTCAAGTTCAAGTTTATTTATTTCCTTAAGCTTTACAGCTCATCAGTTGTTCATATATCAGTGCAACACACATACACACCACTTCCGCACCTACTCCTAGAAGTGTAGAGAGATATCTTGCACTGCTGAAAATAATGTAATTAATAATAGAATAATATTTGGTGATAAGGACATATTAGTGTATTACTGACAAGCACTAGATACACATGACTTAATTCAGTACATGTTGTCGTCTTCCACTAGCTTTGTTAAAATTCGTTAATGCGCTAAAATTTGAGTGCTCTAAAAACAGCAGATTTACAGTATTGTGTTATCTGTGTCCGCCGTGGCTGACCTTCACGTATATATGTACCTGACGTCTGCGTATGTAGCCTTTTGATCGATAGAGCTACAGACGTTAAGGCGGTGATTGACGTTTATATTAGAATACATGGTATGGTCAGGTTGTTATGGGACCAAGCATTCAACTTGTCACTGTATATTGTCCGTGCAATAATGTGTGGCCATGCGGAATCAATAATGTCGATAAACATAATCATCCTTCGCAAAATGACATTCATGGTTTTATTTATTCCTTGATTTTTCTTTGTTTTCCTTTTTTAGTTTTTTTGTAAATGTTTATATTTTTTATGCAATAAAAGGTTTAATTTTCATAATATATCGACAGTTATATTGAGTCGGCAAAATTAGATTTAGACCTCGAATTATTATTTTAGTTGAATAGATAAATGATTGTTCGTGGGATAAAAACATTTTCGTCTACATGAAATGTCAGATAGTGGCAAAAATGACGAAAATCGGGATTTTCTATAAAAAAAAAAACAACACCTTAGTTAAATTATCTGTAGGCTCGCTTTACGTAACACTCATTGCAATGAGCAATAAAAACTACTTTATTCATTTAGCAGTGTTGCTAGTGTCATTCTAATATAGTATAACAATTACATTTATATATTAATATTTATAGATATTGAGAGTCCATTGTGTTCTGTGATCTATGCTGTAGATAGATATTGACATTTTCATTTTCTTCTCTTTATGCAAAATGAATTTCGGTATCTTTGTCAAACATATTAGCTGAAACAGTAGCAAGCATGTTTACATAAGTGAATGTATGGATGCATCAAACCTACCTGGGAAAGTTTTGGTCTCGTCCACTGTAATCTGGGGTCCATGATGTACGGATTTCCGGTAAGCTCTGTGAAACCAAACATCTAGATCATATACACATGCACGAGGATAAAAAAAAAACGGTATATTGTACAGCGCTGCATTGTCATATTCACGTACAATGTAAAGTCGATCCTACCGAAGTTGGTGTCATCTAACTATGGATCGGGACTTACTTACAAACTACTTGCGTCATTTTATTAAAGCAGCAGAGTGTTCACAAGAAAGAAAAAACAAAAGTGTTAAAAAAATACAAATTTGGTTAGTTGTAAAGAGTGTAACGTAGAGGAAAAAAACATAGTTGTAGCCCAAAATTGATGACACTAGAGTGAAATATTAACAAAACAATATTTAAATTGGCACTTGAATACGTACAAAGAGAATAAGACCAGGTGTTCCGGAAGATTGAGCGTATTCTGCTTCATCGACAACGCCTGCCGCCAATCTGTGTCAAATCAAAATAATGCAACGTTCTCAAAGATGGAACAAGGGTATTAGAAAATATTACTTAAATTTAAAGACTCTCTATCTATGTCTAGCAAAACTAAGCACGTGACATCATCAACAGTAACGGAAGTTGACATGTTTGTTAGTGGACATGAAAAGAGAATATTTGTATATTAAACTTAATGTTGGCACTTTTTCCCGAAGGAATATACTTATATATTATATTAGATTAAAACGACAGAGAACTGTTGAAATATATGTTTTCTGTTTAGAATGACGTGTTTCATATTCGTAGGGCGTTATTTCATCATTTAATAATTGCATAACGAACACTATCATTGTAATTCCATCGTTAAGAGAACGATATGAACGTATGAATCTGGACACCAAATGAACCAACATTTAGATAGAGGGTTTTTTCGCCCACTGTTTGTGTAACTCTCTCGCCTTCTGTACTAAACTCTGAAGGACGCTGAGCTTTTGGTAGCAGTTAATACAAGCCTATGCAGTATATCCATAAGGACAGCACAGCACGTGCATTTAATAAAGTCAGTGAAATGATACATCAAGACTCTCGTCGGATACCGGAAAAAAACAGATACCGGAAGTCATCAGATACGCAGAATATCACAGTTATATGTAAATGTCGTGTACTAGAATACGACCCAAGTGATTAAGCTATCATTTTTGTAAGACTTTTTGGAGTTCGTTTGGAGTCTATCCATAGGAAGAAAACCAAAATAGCAGGTTTGTGTATTGATTGATTGTGATATGTTAAGGTTGTTATTTGGCATATTTCTCTATAATTGAATGAACGTTAATGGCTTTAGATACGTGCAATCACTAACGAGCTGGATGTAAAATAACGCGTCGTTATATTTGTCTACAAATCACGTCATGTTGTATGCATCTATAATTCGTAGACGCTTTATTCATCTAGAAATTAAAGATTTTTATATTTATATTTACTCTTCTTCTAGAATTCAACGAATTTTCTTTTATCTAGAATCCATAAAACGTTATTTACCTTGAATTCACATACTGTTATATGAATATTTTTTCACGGAATATGGTCTATTTTTTAAATCGCAATATATAATGATTATTTACACTGTTTTAGATACTTCAATATTGTAAAATCTATTATTAAAAAGTTTATACCTAGAATTCACATGATGTTGTGCACATCTAAAACTCCCATCACCGTTTATTTCTCGATCTCCAAGACTGAAATATGTGTGTTTATGTCACAGTATGTTGAAGTTTCACGATAATCAATTAAAGTGCTTTTGTTTACGGTCCAAGTAGTTGTACATCATCCTAAACGCCCACATGATGTTTTGTTTGTCTTGAAATCACAGGATGTTTCGGACAATATGTGACAACTTTGCCAGGAGTACGGGGACGGAAAGCCTCGTTCCCATAGATACCATAATACACGCCAACAGCATCGAACTATTACAAGTAGTGGTACAGAGACGTGAGGGCCATTACTCCTGGCAAACACACGTGCACACGCCTTACGACTTCAAAGTAAGTTACGCTAGGTGGTTGTATACAGGGTTTCCAAACAAAAAGTCACACTGTACATTGAAAATGCTGAACTACTTGTCATTTAAGGTACAGATACAGATAGTTTATTAAAGTCTCATCTTGCGCATACATATATACAATGATACAATAAAATATACATAAAACATATGACGAACGCCACTGAAAAAGAGTTACGAGAGACTTACAACAGTTTAAATGCATGCAGACGCATTTTACTTTTAAAGAAACTTGCTTTAAAAGGCTATAAGAGAGAGACTAATACATGCCATAAAATCATATCGAAATTTCAAACTTCAATATAAAATAATCAATGATATATTAAACTATTAAGACGTTTAAGAATTTTAGGAATACGACTTTTGGATTGCAGTTTTATTAATTATCCGGGTCAATTAAAGGTGGTCAACTTTAGCTCGGTGATTCAGTATTTGTTCTGTTTGTCTGTGTTTCACGTCCTATTTACCCTTTCACCCCTATGTAACTTTAATAGACTCTACCATGCATTGATCTGGATGAGTCCATTATGGTCTACAGTGGTGAAAAGGTTAACAGCTATGGTCATTTAACGACGTGCCAGGTTTTTTGATATATTATTTTATAACAGAGATTCGTTGAGTGAAAACTATTCACCTTCCGGATTTACATTTTCACTCAGTATTTAGCCAGAAATCAACGATCTTCATTGCTCCGACCAATATTTTCATGAAAGGTAAAATGATTTGATCAATTACAGATATAAAATGCAATATATTTGTAAATTATCTATTCTACATAGATAAAATAACATCACAAATGTTACATGATTTTCACAGAGTGTCTAGCTCAAACTTACGTTTAATTACAGATAAAAAATATTTTGGTAAATTACAAAAAGAAGATGAAGATTAAGAAAAAGACTTCCAACTTTTGCTCCTGGAGTAGGGAACTGGAAATATCACTTGGTGGGAAGTTTGGACGAGCAATTTTTGAAGATCTGGGCGAAAGAAATCTCTCTCCAAAAGACAAAGTAAGGATAGAAGCAAACGTCGGGGAGACCGAGATGGATAAAGTCAATCCAAACAAAATCTACAGGAAGCTTGTTGGAAGGTTGGCATAATTTATATATTAATGTATATTTCCCTACATAATTATTGTATATTTCCCTATATATTTATTTAATGATATATTCTTTTCACTCGTTTATTAATTTAACTTAAGTGACAATCGTGTATTAATTTGATCTCAATCGTGCAAACATTGTATATTTTTTTGAGTAGTTTTTCTCATTAGTATCATCCTTACAACTGGTTGGATTTCTTTCTATTCTATTTTCTTTAAACGATTTTCTTTAACAACTAGCTAAAGGGAAACTCCCTCTATCCGAATCAGTAACCAGTAAGTAGATGTTCAGCTCTCTGCTATAACAACATCAATAGATTTTTTTTGTAATTAAAAACTTTTTGTTCTTATATTAATTTAGCAAATGTCTTTGAAAAATGTTTACTTGGTTCCTCTTTCTGCATTGAGAAACTATCTTCCTCCTTTCGTATTACATTGTAATTACATACGTAACCCACACAATACTGTATACCGGGAAATATTTGCCGAAGTTTAACGTTGGCGAATTTAAGTACACAACATACAATACATAGGTATGACATGTGAAGGGCGAAGTTAACGTTAGCGGGCGAATATGGATTCTATCGGAAAAGTGTCCCTGTATACAGTTACTAACATCGTATCTGTTCCAGGAAGATCAACTTAGAACACCCGTGGGTACAGCAAGTATGTCAGGACAAAAAGAACGTCATATGTGTTGTCCAGTCTATCGTCAAACTGTCTGGAGACGCTGAAATAAAAACCACCTCAATCAAAAGGGTACGTCTCACGTTGTTCCACCTTCTAAGTTAGCTGAGCTTTACCAGATGAAGCTCGCTAGAAAATGCTTTATACCCCGGAGCTAGCCAAAATGTATATATTACATGATTACTGTAATTCCCGCTGTTCTAGCAAATATCTTTGACATTTTCATTGAACTATGAACTCGTCACACCCTACCGAGTAGCACGACCTTTGCTGATCAGTAAGATCTCTCGTGATATAAGGTCTCGGTCAAAACATCTCATTGCGTTGTTCTTGATGGAAAATAGCGTTCCTTAAATCTTCAATAAGATTCGTCAGCTTGGAAACATCTAATATCAACATTTTACTTCATGCACAAACAGTGTACGTATTAAACGTGTCGCAACGTTCCAAGGCATGCATACGCTCCTAATGATAGGCGAACGTCCCGGGTCGAGTGACATCAGAAATATACAACTTCGTCACATCGTTGTACAGGTAAACAATACAAATCGCTCACTCAGTCATAGATTGACAACAAACCAGTCGTTGTTGAACCGTTGCCACACGTTTGATACGTATTTCGTTTGTGTAGAAAGTAAAACTTTGATATTAGCTTTCCTTAAGATATTAATACCAAAGTTTTATATTTCTATTCAATATGTCCATTCCTATTTTTTCTTGGAGACACAAACTTTTGTTCTCGATTTACGATAGGAGACTTTAGCATCTATTGACCATTCTTGTGTAACGGAAAATTAATCATTATGCTACTATTCTGCAGACTTCCGATCATAATTATGTCCGTTCAAACAGATTCCCCAGGATTGCAGTAGTTTCCTGGCACACAGGTCTGATAGAGTTATGGCCCTTAAACATTCTTAAAGAAATATGACACATGTGTTTAAAGACGTCTTAGACGAATTATGTTCCTTGTGCGAAGATTTTCTTTGAGTCACGAACATTGTACAAGTATACTGGCGCCCATATACACAACTGACAAACAGTACAAATATACTGGCGCCCCGTATACACAACTGACAAACAGAACAAGTATACTGGCGCCCATATACACAACTGACAAACAGTACAAGTATACTGGCGCCCATATACACAACTGACAAACAGTACACGTATACTGGCGCCCATATACACAACTGACAAACAGTACACGTATACTGGCGC